CAAGAAGGACTTACTGATGCTGTAAGCTTTCACAAAACAACCAGTAAGTCAATAACTCACTCACTTGAATAATCCAGTTAAGAAGACAACCTCTATATAAGAATAACAAAAAACCATAAAAGATGACTAATGAGTTTGGTGGTGTAATTATTAGATTTCAGGGGCTTTCAAAAAAAAAATCACTAGTTTTGGTGGTGCATGATTTTAGTCCCAGCACTAGGAATGCCTAGGCATATGTGTCTCCATGAGTTTGAGGCCAGCCTGGTCTAAATAATGAATTCTAATACAGCCTAAATGTAGAGATCTTGTCTTAAAAAATAGAAAAAAATAGATGTATTATGTGTTAGTTAGGGTTATATTGCTGTGATGGAACACCATGCCAAAAGCAAGTTGAGGAAGAAATGGTTTATTTGACTTCCCTCTCAGTTCATCATTGAAGGAAGTCCAAGCAGGAACTCAAGCAGGGCAGGAGCCTGGAGGCAGGAGCTGATGCAAGGGCTATGGGAGAATGCTGCTTACTGGCTTGCTCTTCATGGCTTTCTCAGCCTGCTTCTTTATAGAATCCAGGACCACCAGCGCAGAAGTGACTGTACCCACATTGGGTAGAGACTTGCTCATTGCCTGATCTTACAGGGTTACTTTCCAATTGAGGTTTCCTCCTCTCAGATGACTTTAGCTCTGAGCTCTGAAGTATAATAAGTTAAAAGTTAAAGTTTAAATAGTGATAAGTTTGCAATTATTATTATTTTGGCTACAGGCCTGGGAATAGGGAAGCTTGAAACTTTGGAGAACAATTGTAATTCTTAATTCTTTGTGGGATGTGATTATTCTTTTGAATTTGATTTGGCAATGATTATACAATGTCTTTTTTTTTTTTTACTTGATTTTGGAGTATCAATAAAAGACTGGGGCAAGAGAGAGGCAAGGAGGTATGTGAGGTGAATGTGGAGAGAGAGAGAGAGAGAGAGAGAGAGAGAGAGAGAGAGAGAGAGAGAGAAAATGAGAGGATGAATGAAGGAGCATGTAGAGAGCGAGTGAGAGAGCATGAGAAGAGCCTGTGAAGAGTGAGTGAAGAGAGAATGTGAAGTGTGTATGGAGAGTGTGTGTGTGAGTGAAAGAAGAGTGCATGTGGTGTGTGAGGTGTATGTGAAAGAAAAGAAAAGTGCACAGGAGAATGGAGAGTGTGTGCAGCCTCAAGCTGTGAGTGAATGAGCAAGAGAGAAAGAAAGCAGACAGTGAGAGAAAAGATAGAGAGAAACTTTAAGCCTTGAAAAATTGCCTGTCAGCTTGTACCCAAAAAGTAGTCTGTGTATACTTAATATGCGCCTTACAGATGTCCCTGCTTCCAGTTGAGAACTCCGATCCTGTATTGAGGCTGGGCGCCGACAATTAATATTACTGGTTTTAGATAACAGCCATTTTGTTCCAGTCTATAGGCTTCCTTTTCACTTAATTATTTCTGTTGCTACAAGGTGGCTTTTCAGTTTGCCGTAATCGATTTCTTTTCATTACCCGTGTTTTAAAGTCCCATCATCACAAAGAACAATGCCAAGGAACCTTTCCTCCACTTTCTTCTAGTAGTTCTACGGCTTCATGCCTTATGCTTAACACCTTCCATTCAATTTTAGTTGTTTTGTGTGTGGGGGAGTGTGATAGTGGTGGTGGTGGTGATGTGTGTGTTTCATGTACATAACTATGTAGATACATGAACTACTTGTGTGCACTCATGGGGGCCAGAGCTACATGTTGTATCTTCCTCTAAGCTCTCTACCTTAATGCCTTCAGACAGGGACCCTCACTAAACCAGAAGATCACCATTTTGGCTAAGCTGGCTGACTAGCAAGCTCTTGGATCTACTTATCCATGCTTTCCAATGTTGAGGTTACAGGGCATGGACATCCTGTCTTTTATGTGGATACAGGGGATTTGAACTCAGGTCCTCATGCTTGTACAAAAAACACTCTTGTTCATGGAGATCCCACTTAGGCATCTCACTAGGTCTTTTTTTTTTTTTTAATCATGAGAATGTGTTTAACATTGTCAATGCTTTGCTGCAGATATTGCAGATATCGAGACAATTATGTCAAAGTTTTTTTTGTTCATCTTCTTAATGTTGTATGTTTTATTAATTGATTAGTAAGTGTAAAGCCACCTTATATCCCAGGAATAAATCCTGTTTGGCTGTGATGTGTCAGAGTTTTTAATGTGTTGTTGAATTTGATAGAGTAGTAATGCTTTATTGAGGAATTTTGCATCTATATTTATCAGAAATACTGGCTTATATTTTTCAGTTTTCTTTTCTTTTGTCTTTGACTGGCTTTAGTATTAGAGTGCTATATGCCTACTAAAACAAACTGAACATATCCTTTATAATTCTATTTTTTGTAAGTGTTTCAAAAAGATTGTCTAGTACTAACTCTACAAAGCCACCTGGTGCCAACATTTTGTTTGTCAAGAGATTTTTAATTACTACTTCAATCTCTTTATTTGCTATTGATCTATTCAGCCTTTCTGTTTCTTCTAATTCAATTTTAGTAGATTATATGCTTCTAGCAATTTACTCGTTTCCTGTGGGTTATCTAATTTGTTGGCATATAATTGTTTCTAACAGTCTCTTCTGATGTTTTTAATTTCTGGGGCATCTGTTGTACTGCCTTCACTTTTATTTCTGATTTCATTTGTCTGGGTTCTATCTCCTCGTTCATCTAGACAAAGATTTACCCACTTTGTTCATGTTATATAAAAACCTAATTGTTAATTTTGCTGATTAAAAATAATTTTACTCTATCTTTCTATATTTTCTTTCTTCTGGTAATTTTAAGTTTAGTGGATTTTTTTTTTTTTTTGTTACCGAGGAGTAAGTTTAGCTTGCTTATTTGAGATCTTTCTTCCTTTTTTTTAGGTAAGCATTTATCGCTATAAACCACCTTTTAGAATCCCTTTTTGCAATGTCCCACAGGATTGGATATATTGTGTTTCCATTTTTATTTTGTCTCAGGAGGTTTAGAGGCATACAGCAGCTTAAGAAATAGTGGTGCAGCTGGGATTTAATACTCTAGTAGCTTCTTGAAATTCTTATATTGTAAAGTTTGGAGGTTGCATTTTGTAAGTCAAGTTTTTAAGATAAGAGAACATACTCTGGGGACTTGTAGTCTCAGCTCATGACGAACCAAACTTCTCACTTCTTCCCTCCCTCCTTGTGGTGGCTGGTTTTATGTCAACGTTTGACACAAGCTACAGTCACAGGAGAGAAAGGAATCTCAACTGAGAAATGATGTCACCTTCGTAAGATCTGGCTATTGGCAAAGTCTGTAGACTTTCTTAATTAGTGGTTGATATGGGAAGGCCCAGCTCATTATGAGTGGTTTCATTCTTGGGCTTGTGGTCCTAGGTTCTGTAGGAAAGCAGTCTGAGCAAGCCATGAGAAGTAAGCCAGGAAGCGGCATTCTTCCCTGGCCTGTCGATTAGATCCTGCTCTGTTTGAGCTTTAGTTCTGACTTGCTTGGATAATGAATAGTGATGTGGAAGTGTAAGACAAATAAACTCTTTCCTCTCCCATTTGCTTTTGGTCATGGTGTTTCATCACCACAGTAGAAACCCTAACTATGACACTCTTATAGATGGGTTCTTGCTAACAGTACTCTATCATCCACTGGTCCAGAATCTGCCAGTCAATAGCTACCCTTGCCTTTGTCACTCAGGTATATAGCTGAGAGAAGGAAGAAATGAGAGCAGGGCCTTTTGTTACTGTTCATCTCAGCAGGGATCTGTAAGTGGGTACTGAAGTGTGTTTTGGTTAAGAGTCTATGTCTTGATTTAGCAATACTCTAGTGCTTTGGTGGGATAGTTCATGAAGGCCTTTCAGTTACCCTTGATCTGGATTAATTGTCGTTTGATGTGCAGGCTTCAATTCATTGGGTAAGTTTTCTACCAGATGCTTGGAACACATAAAGAGAGACTGACTTCCACTGGGGAATTTGACTACCCTTTCATTTTACCCCGGGCCTCGCTGATTTGTAGCCATCAGTTTTGGTGTACTCACTCATTCAAAGCTGTCTGATTCTATATTTTCCCGAGTTCCAATTATCAGGCCACAGATAAGATTTCTTTGCATTTATAGTTTCTGGGTTTGGGACTTGAAACCCAGGGTCTAATGGCTGGGACTATGAGGACAGTGGCTACAGATATTGGGAACAAGACAGCATCTGATGACTTGACTAACCCTTTTGAATTCGCATCACTGGATCAATTCATCTCCCTTTTAGGTTTCCCAAAGCCTGAAAACATTACAAGATTCAAAAGAGACATTAAGTATCATTAGCTGTAATGAGACTGTATACCAATAAGACTTTATTGCTGTCCATAAAACAAATACTTTGCTAACATACCATAAAGCACTCTGTCCTAAAGAATGCTACTTTGGCAGACAGAACAGACCAATTGAACGTGATACATTCTGTAAAAATGCATCTTTCACTTTTATACTATTTGTTGACATTCTTATTTTCTGAATTCTATAGCACATCGTTAGTATGGATTTTGGGTAATTTTCATAATGTAACAAGAGCATCAACAAGGCTAATTGATCCAGATTTATCTCCTCAGTGTCTCAGATAAGTAGCTGTGTATCTGTTCTTTTGAAAGACACTTCCAATGACTTGGAAGGAAAACTGAAGACTGTATGTCTCAGCACGTGCTAGCGACATGAACTCTGCAGTGTTCCTACAGGGCTTAAAGCTAGTTTATCAGCCTACCAGAACCTTAGTATAAACAAATAGTATGAGTCTAAGATAAAGAAATTCCTGAGTATGTATAGTTACCACCAACTCGCTATGTTTTTTCATTTCTACTCTATTGAATATTCTTTTAGGTTGTTTTAGGTAATGCAGGTTTAATCAAAATAGCTTTATTAATTCTAATTTAAAATTATCTCGGGGGCTTGAGACGGTCCTTTCAGGAACCCACACACTCTGAGGCGTCTGAGTGAAACGTGTAGCACCATGGCCTCTGTGTTGTCCTACGAAAGTCTGGTACACGCCGTGACCGGAGCCGTGGGAAGTGTGACTGCCATGACAGTGTTCTTTCCCTTGGATACTGCTAGACTTCGGCTTCAGGTCGATGAGAAAACGACACATGCAGTGCTCCTGGAGATAATTAAGGAAGAAAGCCTCCTGACACCATACCGAGGATGGTTTCCAGTTATTTCCAGTCTCTGCTGCTCCAATTTTGTCTATTTTTACACTTTTAATAGCCTCAAAGCAGTGTGGGTCAAAGGTCAACGTTCTTCTACAGGAAAAGATCTGGTGGTTGGATTTGTAGCAGGAGTGGTGAATGTGCTGCTAACTACTCCACTCTGGGTGGTAAACACCAGACTGAAGCTGCAGGGGGCAAAATTTCGGAATGAAGACATTATACCAACCAACTACAAAGGCACTATTGATGCATTCCACCAGATTGTTCGAGATGAAGGGATCTTGGCTCTGTGGAACGGCACCTTTCCCTCCTTGCTGTTGGTCTACAACCCTGCCACCCAGTTCATGTTCTATGAAGGCTTAAAATGGCAGCTTTTAAAGAAGCGGATGAACCTCTCTTCTCTGGATGTGTTCATCATCGGTGCAATAGCCAAAGCGGTTGCCACCACAGTCACCTATCCCATGCAGACGGTACAGTCAATTCTGAGGTTTGGACGTCATAGACTAAACCCAGAAAACAGGACACTGGAGAGTCTTCGGAATGTTCTTGCTCTTCCTCACCAACGAGTCAAGCGCTTTGGAATAATGGGACTCTACAAAAGCCTCGAAGCCAAGCTGCTGCAGACAGTGCTCACAGCCGCCCTCATGTTCCTTGTGTACGAGAAACTGACAGCTGCTACCTTCACCGTAATGGGCCTGAAGAGCACACATAAGCACTGAGGCCCGCTCACAGGACAGTGTGGAGGCGCAGGTGCTGCACAGAGAGAAGAGGCACAGTTCTCCTTTCCCAACGGTTCCATCCACACCGTAGACATTCATGTTATTGGCTGTAAAAACATCAAAGGCTAAATGGAGTATAGCCAGCTAAGCCTATCACTTTTATGTTTTTTTTTTTTTTTTTTTTGGTGTTTTATGGTGCTAGGTTGGTTTCGGGGGTAGAGGTTAGACTGATATGAAAATATTGAAACCCTGAAAATGGAAGTTTGTGGGTATTCACCCATTTTTCTCAAGGGGAATGAACTTTCCATCTAAGGCTTTTCTCAACTTTACCACTTGTTTTCTTTCTCTAAAGCTCTCCTGGCTTCCAGACGATTCAGTAACATTATTCTCCTCAGATACTCTTCTGTCTTAGTCTTGGTAAAGAACTCCTCACTGAGAATAACATCACGACTGTGCCATGGGCATGACTTTATTTCTGTCTGACTCCTTCCCTCCTGCTTAAAGAAAGCTATTTATTTTGTGGGGGAAATGAAAATTATTAACCTAAATGATTTTCTTAAGATTTGTAAATGTCAATTATTCATTGGTGTTTGACATAGTTTTTTTTTTAATACATACTTATTTTGAATTGTCTTTTACTACAAAAAAGCCTTGATGTTGTATGTCCTTTTGTGCAAGCTCCAATCACATAAGCCTCAATAAATTGTCAACACACACACACACACACACACACACAAATTTATCTCACTGAAGAATAGATTAAAATTATAAGACCCAAATTTTAATGGCATCTACTAAGATACCTGATCAAAAGATTTGAGTAAATATTAATTTGTCCAATAAAAGTAAACCATACAAAATATATGAAATGGCAGTTTGTGAGGCACATCATAAGGCATGAAAGAGAAGAATTCCTGAAGGACAAAAATGTAGTCCTTGAAGTTGTCTGAATTGGCTGTGCTAATTTTCCAGGACAGGACAGAGAGGGAGAAGCCAGATAGAGATGGCCAGACACACCAAGGTGAGGAAATAGAACTAAGAGTCCAGGAGCACCAGTGCTATGAACATCCTCAGGGGTAGTTATCACATCCACTGTCAGATTACTAAGTAGTGTCAATCTATAGGAGATGGATGCAGAAAGGAATGGTGGAAAGGATTATGCCCATCCCCCAATACACACTGGGACAGAGTACTACTGGGAATATGGTCTTTTGTATACTCTTTTGGTCTAAGATTCCCTGTCTCCTTCAAGTAAAGTCCAGATGTAGAAACCAAGCTGTTTTACAGGTAGAACCAGAAGAGAATATTTCTTCTAATTCCTCTTGGACAATATTTACTTAGTTGAATTTTTATCTACAAACATTTTGCAAAATATAATTAAGATGCCTTCAGTTGTATGATACAAGTAGGCAATTTTATTCTGTAGGATTTGAGGGCACTTTAGCAGATTGAAAAAAGTCACTCAGTGTATGGAGTAGGTGGCACCCATGTCTGATTCTACCCCTGAAGAGCTTACTACTCTAGAGAGAATAAATTGCCTTCCTTACTCTTTGTTTGTTACAAAAATGAAATAGAGAGCTATAGAGATGATTCAGCTAATAAAGTCACTGCCAAACAAGACAAATTAAATGAATTTTCATCCCTAGAACTCATGTGAACCTGGGTATGGATGAGTGCTGGGTGGGAGTTGGGGGACAGGTAGGTTGCTGAAACTCATTGGACAATGACCTCCAGGTTCAGGGAGAGACCCTGGTTCAGAAAATATAAGGAGAGTGATTGAGAGAGGTATATATATATATATATATATATATATATATATATATTCATTTCATGCATTAAAGGATAAAATAAAAATTATAACCATAGTGTCTTTCTTTATAGTATACAAGATTAGACTAAAATTTAACCTTCACAAAGCACAGGGTCTGTCACATGAACAGGAATCACCTCGAGTCCCTTTACATATCTATATGTGACCCAGACAGACTTCAGTTAGTTGTAGTTTGCAGGTTGGTTGGCTACAGCTTCTTTATGAGTCACCTTTTACCTGGGATGGAGAAAATTAGTAGCAATGGAAACAACCAGGATGGCAAGCCTAGCACCAGGACCTGTGTCTTAGGTAGTTAAAGTGACTCTAAATGCTTGCTTCTTCTCTCTGCTGTACTATTAGCCTCACTAAAGGGGAGAGTTTGAAGATTTTCTTAAGAATTTCTGGGTAGACCAGGTATTTATGTTGAACATATCCTCAGTAGCTCATTTACTCCAATCAGCCTCCACGTTTGATTGCTCTGGATAACTATGTTCCTTTCTGCTTTGCTTCTTATAAGAAATCTCTTTTGTTGTCACGTATGCAATGTACCACATTCATATGGGGAGAAGCTTAGATTCCCAGGATAATGCTGTAGAATATGTAAACCATCTGAGACTACCCTAAAAACGACTTTTTAATCATCATTTAGGTATAAAAATAAAAACCTATAATTTATATCTTCATTAACACATTAAATAATAAAATGTAGCAGATAATCTAATTCATTCCCTAATTTAAAGTTGTAATGCATACAAGTAATGTTTCCAGATATTTACAGTAACTGTAATATACTTTAAAAATAGCTACAATTTTTGTTCTGATGATTTCTATTGTCGACAAAGTTCTATTTTTGTGGAAATCTGTGGCCTACATAGTAGAGGCACATGCTAAATAATATATCATCCATCCATGCAAGTAAAGATGTAACTTTTTCCCCCAGGCAATGTCATGAAGTGTGCATTTTGGAAGGGTGAAGTGCTTTTTCTCTGAGCAAAGTATAGATGTAGAGTCCTTTCCTTCTGCCTATGAATCCATGGTTAAAAAAACCTGGCCAGCTTTACAGAGTCTTGATAATTGCTACACTTCCAGTGTGCTGCTAGGCATATTAAACAGGAGATGTTTGCCCAAGAGCAGTGTGTGTTGAAACAGATGCTAGATACACAGTGAGTAATTGGATATATAGGAGGTGTCAGGTGTGTTACAGGGAGTGCCTAGACCTTAGAGAATTACCTTTTCTTCTATTTTTAATACAAATGGCTGAAGTGTGAGAAGCCATGCTATCTAATGACTGGCCCCAGGCCTCCCTTCTGCAGAGGTGTGCAGGCACAAGACTCTCAGGAAGTTTTCTGTGAGAGTCATGATCATGAAAGCCAAGCTCTGACATATGTGTGGAGGTACAAGCATAAGGGTTAGTGGCATCTTTTAATGATTTAGAGCAAGGTCTTGATTTAGAGCAAGGTCTGTCAAACTATTAAAAAAGTCAGACCCAAACTAGAAAATACGCTTTACATTATTCCCCAACACCCACACCCGAATACACTTACAATAGCCACAGACTTCACTCACATACACATACTTAAAATGGAAACAGCGTCCCCAAATTAAATTGTGCCATGTGCGATGCCTTCCAATCTATTCTGTTTTATTCTATTGTGTTTTCATTAAAGTATGCTAAATTGATTTATGACTCACTAATGGGCTGAAACCTTCAGTTTGAAAAGCTTATGTTCTGTGGATCAGACATAAAATAAATCATGATTCAAAAGTACAGGGGTTCTCTTTCCAAAATAAAAATGACTGGTGCCATGTGCCCTTTCCTGACCCCAGAACTCAGGCTCTCTTCTTTGTAGCCAATCTCAGCTAAGCATCTAGGTGACCTTGACTTCCTGTACACAAAGCGATGGCAGCTTTCCTTCTAAAAAACCTTGAATAGGCAGGACTTGTCACTCCTCTCACTTCTCACATGCAGCAGTTCCTGAGATGTTAATGTTTATTTGGAGGTACTTCCATCTGTTTTGGCATCTCGGTGGTCTCCTGAGGTCTTTTCTTCCCATCCTGCACTTTGGCATGCTGCCTGCTTCAGTTTCCAGTTCCAGAGGTTTCCTACTTGCCTCGAAATGCCATGGCTTTCTATTCAGTAACTTTAGATACAAGCAAGGTAGATTGTATCTATTATTTAAAGTTTTTTAACCTTTATTTTATGTGAATGAATGTGTGCTTGTATGCCTTGTGTGTGTAGGATCGCCTGGGAGGGGAGAAGCAGACAATTATGAGCTGCCATGTGGATGGCTGGGAATTGAACCCAAGTCCTCTGGAGGAGCAACTAGAGCTCTTAATCACCCCTCCCCCCGACACACACACACACACTCCTGAGTCATCTCTCCAGTCCATCAGGTTATATCTAAATAGGAGATTTCTTGTCTCAGGGACAAAAGTAGACAATCTCACAAACCATTAATGATAACATGAAGGGAACACTATTCTGCTCATGAATGTAAACAGATTGCTGTTGAAAGAGTTCTTCACTGGGCACAAAGGCTATCTGCCCTTGAGAATTAGGAAGAGAAGCTCCTCCCAGGTTCTTGTTCACAGAATACCGAATCATGGCTAACTCAATGACAGTTATTGAAAACTACTAGTGACAGCTCAAGGGATTCCACAGAAGTAGAAGATATAGTATTTACTTATTGATTTCCTTTTCATTGTTTTTTCAAACTGTGTGCATAGGTATGCAATTTCCAGGTATATGTGTGAAAGCTAGTGGACAATATTGGTAGCTGGCCTTTGCTTCTCACTGCACTTGACTCAAGGTTCTGTGAGCTCCTGGGGGACCCCATCACTACCTCCCATCTCTCAGTAGGAATGCTGGAATTACAGATGCATGATCCTGTAATTATTGTGAGTTTGTTTGTCTTGTTTTGGTTTGGTTTTTGAAACAGGGTTTTTCTGTGTAGCCCTGGCTGTCTTGGAATTCACTTTGTAGACCAGGCTGGCCTTGAACTCAGAGATCCTCTTGCCTCTGCCTCCCAAGTGTTGGGATTAAAGGCATGCACTACCATGCCTGGCGATTTGTGACTTTTGACTTGAGTCTCAGGGATCTGTACTTAAGTCTTAAGGCATGTGCTTTTACCCCTTGACTTATCATCTTGGGATTTCATCTTTTTGTGAGCCTCATTTGTTTGGATCCTTG